CGCTGGCACGCAACAATACAGTCTTGGCACGCGCGTGGGCTTAACTCGAAATGCCACCCGTCGCGACTCGCTGCGAGCTGTGAGCTCCGCGAGGGAGGTCGAACCCAGACTCCAGTTGGGCCCAGCCGGATGCCTCGGCGGCAGACCGGCCGTCTCGGCCTCCGCCGGCGCGGGGGGGGCGGGTGAGGCGGGTGTGGGCGAACCATCTCGTCCACACCCGCCTCTCACGCGCGCGGGGCGGCGGCGGAGGCCGAGGCGGGCGGGCGAGCGGCGAGGGAGCGGCGAGGGCCTCACATGAGCTTTGGGTCGTACTGCATCCCGTTGGCCATCGCGGTCTGGAAGTCCTGGATGGCCGCCTTCGGCGTGAAGTGGACGGCCGGGTCGAACCACTCGGCGTGCGTCTCCACGTTCCGGTCATTGAAGCCCGTGGTGAAGGGCGCCGGGTTGATGGTGCACACCTGGGTGGGGCTGGCACTCTGTTGCGCAGTGGTACTGGGCGCCGCCGGCGTGCGCCAGCCAGGTCACGCGCTCTCCGCCAGGGCTTCGGGACCTGCGGGCCAGCTCTCGGGGCACAGACCTTGACACCACTCGAGGCGAGCTCCTGCCGCAGCGTCAGAGCCATCGCCTCCACCGCGTGCTTGGACATGCAGTACGCGCCAAGATACGGCACCGTGAAGAGACCTGCGATGGACGACAGAAAGACAATCTTGCCCGCCCCCTTTGCGACCATCGCGGCGGCGTATGGCTGCACAAAATCGAGCTGAGAAAAGACGTTGACCTCGAACTGGCTGCGCAGCCTCTCAGTCGGAAGCTCGGCGAGCGGCCCTCCCTCGCCGACGGCGGCGTTGCACACGACGATGTCCACAGACTCGCCAAACCTGTTGAACACGGCCTCGCGGTCGCTCGCCAGCGTGACGTCGAGCTTTGCCGTCTCGAGCTGCACCGCACGCCCGCGCGCCTCTGCCATCAGCGTCGAAATCTGCGGATGGATGTGGCAGGCGGCGATGACGCGGTGCCCGGCGGCGGCGAGGCCGAGAGCCGACCCGGCGCCGAGGCCAGTCCCGGCGCCGGTGATGAGGATCGTCTTCCCGGAAGACGACGCAAAAGCTCGGGAGGCGCCCGAGCGGGCGGCGAGCGCAGCGCGCATATGTGTGTACAGGGTACAGGAATCCCTCTCGTCGAAAAGCGGCGGATGACCTTGTGAGCACTTGAGCACTGAGCACTGGATAGGGTCGATTCCGCATGGTACGGAACCCCATGAACACCCCTGTGCATGCCGTCCGCCACATGGGCTGCCATCGGCATACACAAGGCGCAAGCTCACCGAACGGCGGGAGGTGTACGCGACCCAGAAGAAATCGGGCCGCGTCGTTCCCTCCGTCCGCTGGAGAGAGGTCCATCAGTTTCCGTTCCCCAGGACCTCCTCTCCAACTGCGACCGTGGATCATAGCAAGACCATGTTGAGAGTGCTCATGCTACAAGAGGAGCTTGTTCAGCTGGATCCGGGGCAGTCGGATGCACTACCTCACTGGGCCTGAGAACACCGCACGACATTTGGGACCCCATCACCCGGCTCCAGGATCGAGGTGCACGCCGCCGAGGGACCCCGGAGGGTAGATCGGGCGGTGTCGTCCCCCCTCTCCCATCATCACCTCGGTAATGTGTTACGGGTATCGGTCGCAAACAAAACAAACGTTCTCAAGCTGCGCCGCCTCGCGCGCAAAGTCGCGCGCGGCAGCGTCGACCGCACGGCCTACTCGCCCGGTGCGCGCACTGTCCCTCTGTGTTCGTGTGCGTCGCCCATCTCTCCCTGGAGATGACTGCTCTATTTATTGATTTTCTATGATTCTTTGTTTATTCCATCTCACAGTAGAGGGTTTTATTTATTACACCAGCCACTATCGGAATCCCAGAAGTCCACGCCTGTGTGATGCACACGCCCTGTGAGCGGGGCGGGGTGCGCACTGTGCCTCTGTGTTCGTGCGTCGCCTATCTCTCCTGGAGATGACTGCTCGATTTATTTTTTATTTATTATTTATTCATTAAGCCCAGCACCCGCTTCTCGTACTGCGCGCTCACCCGCTGCTGCCGCTCCTACAAAGACAACCACACGCGTGAGCCTAGGGAGCGGCGTGCTCTGCCCGCACCGCCGCACCGTCGCGCGCCTTGCCTTGGAAGCTGCCTGCCTGGAGCCACACCTGGAACTTGCCGTGGTGCTCGGCGTCGTTTGTATAGTCCTTGCGTTGCGGCATCGATGCTACCGACAAAGAGCCCGCTGGGGGCTCCCTTGCGATTGCCTCGGTGCCCCGCCAGCGTGCTTTTGTCATCATGCTGTCGTGCCTCTCCGCAGCCGCCGCGCTTCCGCGGCCTCCGCCGCGGAAGGTGGGCACCGGGCCGTGCTGTGGCCGCCCCCGTAGCTCGCGAAGCTGCAAACCGGGCTGCGTCCGCTGCCGCGCCGGCGCGCCGCGACCGTCGGCCCGCGGACTCGGTTCTTCGCGGCCTGCGCCGGAGAGTTGGCGGTCGTGCGCTGGGTGGTAATCGTCATCTGTCTCCTCTGCTGTGCTTCTCGCTCGTGCGTCCTTGGGAATTGTGCTGACTTCCTTTCGCCTCCTGTGTTTTCCTTCCTTTCGCCCCCCGGAGGCGGAGGCGCATGAAGCGCGCCTCCTCCTGCGATGAGATCGAGAACGTGCCGCACGTCCTCCAGCAGCACCACACCGCTGGGCTGCGCCACCGGCGGCAGCCGGCGCTGACGCCGCTCGCTCACGGGCACTGCGGCAGGCCGAGCCTGCTCTCGCTGCCCGATGACTGCGTCGCGCGCATCCTCGACTCTCTCGGCGTGGAGCAGCTGCTGCGCGTCACGTGCGTCTCGCGCACGCTCACCGAGCTCTGCATGTCCAACGCCGCGTGGCGCCGCCGCTGCGCCCTCGCCGGCCTCGGCGGCGACCTCCTCGCCGCGGCGCAGAGGAGGGCGGAGAGGAGAGCCGCGGCACGCCGCAGCGGACGGGAGAGCGGCGGGACGGGCGTCGGCGCCGGCATCCCCGCCCACGGCGACGGCGCCCCCGTCGCCGTCGACGCCGCCCCGCTCGCAGGCGGCGACAGCCTCCCTCTGAGTGGCGGCGTCCCTACCACTACCCCGGCGGCGGCGGCGGCGGCGCAAGAGCGGCGGAGCGGCTCCACAGGCGCGGTCGGGGCGCAGCCGCCCGACTACCGCGAGCTCTACTTTGCGGCGTGCTTGTGCGACCACCGCCAGGGCTGGCGCGCGTTTGCGTGGGAGGCCCGGCGGTCTAGAAGCGGAAGACGTGCTCTTGTCGTTCCAACCGGCGCTCGAGAGGACACGGACTCAGCCGTACTCGGCCGTACTCCGCTGTACTCACTGTACGCGTAGCCCCTCGTACTCACGCGGTGATCTAGACGCCACAACACCGTCTTCCCTGCCCCCTGACGCTGGCGTCTCCAGCACGTAGGACCCGGACGGGACACACAAACAAACAAGCTCTCCCTCTCTCTCTCCGTAGGACGGGCAACACAAACAAACAAGCTCTCCCTCTCTCTCTCTCTCCGTAGGACGGGCTACGCGAGCGCGCGCCCGAGCGGACCGAGGCGCTGCGCCTAGTACCACACCTCCAGAGTACCGAATCCAGCGTGGGTTCAGTCCCGTGGGTGGT